CCGGGAGCGGGGGAGGGGCGGCGGCCGCGCTCACGGCGTGTCTCCCCGCAGCTGCTGCCGCGGCGCACCGACTGGACCGGCAAGGAGCACCCCAGGACCTACCAGAACCTGGTGAGCCGTTCTCGCCGCCCAGCTCAGAAACTTTTCCCGGAGTCGAATAAAAATTGAATTTCCCGCAATTTTTAACTGAGACAAAAACTTGGCCCCGGCACGCGAACCTCGCCGGGGCCACGGCAGGGCCGGGGCGGCGTGGGGCTCGGGGGGCGGTGGCCGGGGGACCCTCGCCCCGGGGCCGCGGGGGTTGCGGGCAGTTTATTTGGGATATTTTGTTAATGTGCTAGAAATAAAGATACGTCATGAGTGTTGTGCAGTGCAAGGCCGGAGGAGGAGGGGCCGGCGCGCGCTTCCGTGCGGCTCGGGGGCGCGCGCGGCGCCGGGCGCGGCGGGGAGGCGGGGACGCGCTCGTTCGCTCTGCACGCGCGGCCGGCTCGGCTGGTCCCGCCCCACACAATGGCTGGGGCGGCCGCGCGGCTCGGGCAGCCGCGGACCCGGGGGCAGATAGTGTTCCTTCGTCCTGTTTGTTTCTTTTCTCCTATTTAAGTTCTCTTTTGCTTTCTCTCAATTCCGACCTCAGCTTTTTGGTTGGAGGTCAGATGTGTGGTGATGGTTCCCTAGCGGCGCAGTCAGCGTTCGCCATACGCGCCTGTTCGTAGAAGTGCACGACCCGAAGTTTCCAAAGGCCTTTTCTAATTTTGTTAATTCTCGTGGAATGTTCTGCTTAATTAAAAACTACCGAATATTCGAGAGCGCTGAAGAGTTCCTACTTTTATCCGCATTTTTACTGTGGACTGGAACTTGGCCAATAGAATTTTTTCTGTTTATGTTGGGATATATTTAATAGCTTGGGAAAAATCTTAATTTTGTGAGCATTTAAAGTGAATAATTCCTAAACATTGCTTTCCAAAAGTGAATCTATCACGGTAGCATTGTGAATACAAAAGTGTAGTTACTGCGAAGTTTACTTTTTAGAGGAGCTGCATTTCCATAGCATTATTTTTGCCTAAACTGATTCAGGTGGTTTGTGTGTTGTATGTTGGACAGTTAAAGCAGTCACACCAAACCGCACCAAGCTTTTGAAACTTTGGCAGCGCGTTGTTTTTGGATCTCTCTCTTGGGAGATGAGTTACTTGTTACTACTTCATCGGCACTTCTGTAAAGAAAGATGAGAAAGTTTCACCTACCTCAGCATTCTGTGAGTTGAAGGCATGGCATGATTTTGATAGCTTTTGTCTCATTTTCAATAAGCGTAGTGTAGTATACCCTTGTTTTTTGCGTATATAAAACTCATGGTTTAATATAAGTTGGCGATGCCTGCTCCAAGCTGTTGAAATAAGCCAGGGGTACTTAGATTTAAATTTATTGGAAACTTAACTAAGGATTCTTTTCCACTGTAAGGTTTATTTTAAGGTTGTGATTGAGGGTACCTAATTTCATCCATATTTGGCTAAAATGAATGGCGTTTGAAGTAAAGTCCAATATGATTTATTAATATTTGAAATTAATTTTTAGGTATATAATTATTTGACAGTTGCCATGTCTTCCTTGCTATTTGAGGAAATTATCACAAAAGTTATAGCTCCATTTTAAAGGTGGGGCAAGCTTTACAAAATTCATCTTTGCACCTCATTTTCCAAAACTCATTTTTACATCTCTTCTGAAATTTTGCAAACCTCAAATCACTGAGAATTGCTGTGTTTTCTTGGAGACTTTTGGTAATGTAACTTTTTTTTTTTTTGGTACCGCGATTCGAACTCGGGTCCTTCTGCTTGCGAGGCAGGTGGTGGAACCACTGAGCTAAATCCCGGCCAATGTTACATTTTTTGAATGAAGCAGCTAATGGGGTCTAGCCAAATTACAGGAATGTTTGATCCTTGCAAAAATACAATTTTTTTCTCCAGTAAAAACGGTGGGACCAATTTTGATTTAATTTAATTGAAGGGAGGAGAAGGAGGGTTTCTCATCTCTTAAATATTACTAAAATGAATTTATATCCCTAGCCTGTTTCTCAAATTTAAGCGATAAGAAGAATTGTCTTTATCAGTTTGCAAGTTACCAAGATGCACCAGTTTTGCATGGAAGTGGTTTTTCTTTGCAGTTCTCACCTTGCCAAAATAGTCATGTCGGCATACCTCATATAAGAGAATTGAGAATTCTTACTAGAACTTGGATTTACTTGATTTATTTTGTTTTGTTTATCTGGTATATTCCTCACTCTACCTGGTGGGTGCAAAACGAGGAGCTTTCATATTCACCAAACTACATCTGTTACATGGTTTAACTATTGGGCTTCTTATTGAGATTTAGCTCTAAAAACCATTTGCATCACTGAGTTTCTGACATTATTTGGTTTAAGAGACTATCTTAAAATTCTGTGTCTAGGTAAGCACATAGAGAGTCTCATGTGCAGTACATTCTTAGTTTGGTCCCAGGACTTTAAAAAGTTTTACTTCATAATATACTAAATTGGTTTTACTTAACATTGGTTGGAAGATTATTTGCTGAGTGAAACTAGTTTGAGTAGTTTTCTACTTCTACCTGGAAATGACTTGTTCACATGTTAACTGAATAAATAAACAATATTTTAAATTGAAAAATCCATACATCAAACAGCAATTTCTAGAAAACCTCGTTACATCTATTTAGGATGCGGTTGTATATTTGTACTTACAAGTTTAAAAACGGTCATTTACCAGTGTCTGCAGTCAGCTTAAATGATTAAATTTTAGAGAAATATGGAGTATTGAGCAGTTTAAGTTTATAGGTTAGAAAAAAGATGTTTTCACGGTTTTTGAAAAAGGAAATACACACAAATGTGAACATTATCCTTGCCTTTCATGTTAATAAAATTCATCACTACTACCATCTGTGTTAAGATTTAAAACAAAGTGCATGGAATTTGATAATTGCTTTGGTGCTATGGTACAGATTTACTCAGATTTCTTATTTAAATACAAGGACATAATTTGAAGTTTGTATTTATGAGCATTTTTATTTTTTTTTTTTATTTTTTTAAATTTTTTTTGGTACTGAGGATCGAACTTGGGTCCTTGCACTTGCTTAGCAGGCGGCAAAACCACTGAGCTAAATCCCCGGCCCCTGAGCATTATTATTATTATTTTTTTGGTTTTGGGGATCAAACTCGGGTCCTTGCACTTGCGCAGCAGGTGGCGAAACCACTGAGCTAAATCCCCAGCCCTCTGAGCATTATTTTTAAATGGAGCCAATTATAGGCAAACCTTTGTAAAATAAGAAAAATCACAACTATTTTTTTAAAGGGAAGCTGTTATTTTTTAGTTTTAAGCAGTTGAACAACTTACTTGGTTTAGTAAATGTACTTTCTAGTTGTTACCTTAGTGATGATGGGTAAGCTTGAGAGCAGATATGGGGCCTTTTTATTACGTTTTTGTTTACCAGGTATTTTTTTTCAGAGCTGTGTGCATGATTTGCTAGTTAAAATGATGTAAGTTTTGTTTTTTAAAATAGTGATATTTACATTTCTGAAAATTATTTCACTTTTATTAGAAATCTTTTCAGTGAAAGGATTGGACTTCAAGAGATAGAGATTGTGGTGACAGCCTGTTGGGAGTCTTGGGAAAATCATGGAATTTCTCTTTGCCCTAGTTATCTAATTTGTAAAGAGTCTGATATGTGATTTTGCAAATAGTAGTGCATTGTTTTTAAGCACTCAGTTTTTATTTCATTCTTGGAGTTTAATTTTCCAAAACAGTAAAGTATATTTAGAGAAATTGTGCAGGTTAGAAAATCCAGTTAAATGCTTTTCATGGTGTCATTCTTTGTAGTGTCATTCCTTCCTATAAAGATAAGGATTTTTTAAGACAATAACCACATTGTAGAATGCTGTGTGATTCTTCCTTGCTGTGTAATTACTATGTTTTCCATCATTAGTTTTCATGGATTATTGGTGGTTTCACATTCAGAGATGAATAGGAACATAAATAGGATTTACTTAAGTATATGCTGTAGTATACTGATTAATGTGAAAGTTAAGAATATAAAACCTAGGAGGAGTTTTAGGAGAATAGGTAGCATATTAAATGTTTTTAGGTCAGGAATTCTCATTCTGTTTTAGAGTACTTTCAAGACTTGACCAGTGTGTTTTTGTTTTTCTTGTTGTTGTTTTTTGGTTTTGTTTGTTTTTTGGGGGGTGGGAGGATATTGGGAAGGGCGCAAAGATGAAGTAAACATGTGCTTGATTACCTTTCCTTAAAAAAGAGTATCGGTGGACTGTTAGCTTAGTTGTTTATAAAATATAGTTTTTTGTGTCTTTTATGTCTATACAATATCTCACGGTCATTATAATGAATAAAATGAGAGCTATAAAAGAGATAGTATATGCTGAGGGGCCGAAGGGACAAAACATCCCTCTTTAACACATTCTTTTGGTACTTACACCATCTTTGAAACATTGAGACATTTACAAAAATTCTTAAATGAATTTTTTTTGTACTGGGGATTGAACTCAGGACCTTGCGCTTGTGAGGCAGGTGGCAGAACCACTGAGATAAATTCCCCGACCCTTAAATGAATTACTACTCGACTCAAATTGCAGAATGATATGAACATAAAGGGTGAGTCAAATCATTCCTTTCTCACTCATGTGGTGGTGTTTTAGATGATTGTTACAAGGCATAATAGTATGGAAGGAATTCATTTCCAAATCTGTGAAATAGTTAATACTTCATGAGGTTCTGTAAGTGATAAATTTGAAGAATTACGTACTGTTTAAGGATTTGGGTTTGCCATTATTAGAATTTTTAATAGTGTTATAAAGATATTTTCCAGTTGTAGTTTTAATAAAGTATTGTATTAGTTTTACTTACAGAAACATTTTTATTTATGAAATAAGTTTGAACATAGCAGCTGCAATATAAAAAAGACCCTGTTAAAACCTTAGAAGGTGCTGTTAATATACTTTATAGATTCAAGGATGGAGTTAAGACTGAGAAATAAAGTTTAGTAAATAATTTAAAAATTACTTTTTAGGCATTGTGGGTAGACCCTAGAAAAATTTTTAGGGTTTATTCTAAGTG